GAGGGGGGGGATATTTGTAGCTTGGAGGTGGAGGGATATTTGTAGCTTGGAGGGAGGGGATATTTGTAGCTTGAGGGGCGGGGTATATTTGTAGCTTGGAGGGGAGGGGATATTTGTAGCTTGAGGGGGAGGGGATATTTGTAGCTTGGAGGGGCGGGGATATTGTAGCTTGGAGGGCGGGGATATTTGTAGCTTGGAGGGGCGGGGATATTTGTAGCTTGGAGGGGCGGGATATTTGTACTGGAGGGGAGGGGATATTTGTAGCTTGGAGGTGGGGTTAGGGTATATTTGTAGCTTGAGGGGCGGGGATATTTGTAGCTTGGAGGGGGGGATATTTGTAGCTTGGAGGGGCGGGGATATTTGTAGCTTGGAGGGGCGGGGATATTTGTACTTGGAGGGGCGGGATATTTGTAGCTTGGAGGGAGGGATATTTGTAGCTTGGAGGGGCGGGATATTTGTAGCTTGGAGCTGGGATATTTGTAGCTTGGAGGGGGGAGATATTTGTAGCTTGAGGGGCGGGATATTTGTAGCTTGGAGGGCGGGATATTTGTAGCTTGGAGGGACGGGGATATTTGTAGCTTAGAGGGGCGGGTATATTTGTAGCTTGGAGGGACGGGGATATTTGTAGCTTGAGGGGCAGTGATATTTGTATCTTGCAGGGGCGGGTATATTTGTAGCTTGGAGCGGCGGGGATATTTGTAGCTTGGAGGGGCGGGGATATATGTAGCTTGGAGGAGCGGGGAAATATGTAGCTTTGATGGGAGTGATATTTGTAGCTTTGAGGGGAGGGGATATTTGTAGCTTGTAGGGGGGGGATATTTTTAGTTTGGGTTTGGGGGGATATTTCGTAGCTTGGAGGGGGGGATATTTTTGCTTGGAGGGGGGGATATTGTAGCTTGGAGGGGGGGATATTTGTAGCTTGGAGGGGGGGGATTTTTGTATTTTTAGGGGGGGGATATTGAAACTTGGAGGGGGGGATATATGTACTTGGAGGGGAGGGATATTGTAGTTTTGGAAGGGGGGATATTTGTAGCTTGGGGGGTTTTGGGGATATTTGTAGCTTGGGAGGGGGGGGATATTTGAGTTTGGGGAGGGGGGATAATGTACTTGGAGGGGGGGGATATTGTAGCTTGAGGGGGGGATTTTTGTAGCTTGGAGGGCGTCTGAACTTGCATCAACGCGCTGTGGAAATTTATGATGTCATTGTGTGAGTGGTCATCATGACAAGAAAAAACATAACATAATAACTTTAAGCATGGTGATTCAGTCGGTAATCACCGGGATCCTGAATTCAAGCTGCATGATTCTCTGCTGGAGATAATGCGAACATTGTACCTGTAACCCTTTACACTGCTTCGAAAACTTGCTGTTGTATATCAGAGAAATTTTTATATTTTGTAGTTTGATTGTGCTCCTGGGTTTGCTGATCAAATGTGCCACCTAATTTTACCATCACACTCCCCACAACACAACATTTACACTGCAACATACACACTTCAATACTCTCTACAAATCTACAAAACCACCACACCTTCCTCCATCCCATCTCCACACTAAAAACCCAATTTTTCCATTAACCACACATTTTGAAAACCAGTTTGTAAAGGAACACACATTTAATGGTTGGAGAAGGACTCGCTTAGATAGATGGGGTTGGTTTGAATTTTCTTTATGGAAAGGATTTGTATTGGAGGAAATAATTGTGTTTAGGGGATTTTGTTGAGGGTAGTGCAGGGTGGGGAAATTTTCTTGAGGGGGGATATTGAGTTGGCGGGTTTTGTAGCTGGGGGTTTTTTGACTTGGGGGCAAAATTTTATGGGGGGGGGGGTTTTGTAGCTTTGGGGGGGGGGATTGGGATTTGGGGGGGAAATTGTACTTAAGGAAGGGTATTTTAAGCTTGGAGGGTGGATTGTTGCTTGAAGGGGGGTAATTTTGTAGAGGGGTTATATTTTAATTTTAATTTTTTTATTTTAAATTTTTTTATTATTATTATTTTTTATTATTATTATTATTATTATTATCATTATTATTTTATTATTGTTGTTTTTATTAAGCTAGAACGAAAGTAAAAAATTTTTTGTTCAGCCCGTTAAATCAGGAAGTAAGAGTAATTGCTTAAAACCAAAGGTTTTTGTTTCCATAGCCCAACAACTTTCCCTTTCCCCACGGATTTTTTTTTAGGTCTTGGGTCACTAAGGCAGAGGTTCTTAACCCCTTTTTCCCCAATTCAAAACCCCCAGTGGGAAAATTTTTTTCCCCGTATGTGCCCTACCTCCCCCCGCCAGACTGTCTAAATCATCACCACCACCAAATCCTTTTGGTAAACCCGTATGACTTTAACAATGTCACAACTTGGGGGGTTTTTTTCTTTACATATGTAAGCTAGCTTTTGCTTAGGTAAGATTTTGTCCCAAAAACAGGACAAACATTTCCCGAGCTGGAGCTTTTTTTTTAAACTGCAGGGCCTTTCCCCCTGGCTTTCCTCCACCCTTTCAAAAAAAATTTTGGTTAGAATTATAACCTTTGGGATTAGTTTCATAAGAACAGAATTTAATGAAAGAAAATTTATAACGGTTTTAAATTTTATTTTTTTTTATAAGCTTTAAAAGCAAGGTTTTTCATAAATCGACTCCCTTTTCCCCCAAAAGGGGGATGGATACCCAAAAAATAGGGGTATGGATATATTTCCTAAGGGGTATTTAAAAGGGCCCCCGCCGTGTTTTTTAACGAAGAAGGAAAAGTAAAATAATTTTCCAATTTTTTTTCTGACTTAAAAGGGTACCCGGTTGGGAATTTAAGTGATTTTTAAACGTCCTGGTTGAGATAGACATCTAGGAATAAATCCCTTTGCAAAATGATTTCCCAAAGGGAATCCCCTCATTGGGCCCCCATTTGTGAGGGTTTGTGCAAATCTGTATTTTTCAGGGGTATTTTTGTAGGGTTAAATTTTGGGGGTCTTTGACCCGCCCCTTTAATATTTTCATTTAAAGGGAAATTTTTCAGTAATAAACATTAGCCCCCAATCATTCCCTACACAAAAAAATAGGTAAATTTAAATTTTTCCCCTCCACCTGCGGGGGAATTAAACAAAAGTTAAATTAAATTTATCCTAAGGAAAAAAAAAAACCCCAATTCCGGGGATAAAAGGGGGAAAAAAACCGGTGCAAACCTTAATCATACAGTTTTTAAGCCCCAGGCACTGGGTTTAGCACTCAAGAGGGGGAAAAGAGGAAGAGGGGTTTTTTGACCTCGCCGGGCAGGATAGCAGCTCTCCTTATTTATCGTTCCTACGACCCCCTTGGGGGGGGAAAACTTTACCAGCGTGTCTTCGTTTTATTACAGGGGTGAGCTACGCTAATCGTGAAAAGATAAAGCCAAAAAGTGGTCGTGTGATTCAACAAAGATTGCTCTTGCAATGTTGTTCGGGGCACTGCAAGAAAATTCAAACCTTTTTGTCCTAAAAGAAGCATTCATTTTGTTTCACGATGAGCTGAAGCAAGAAGCACTCATACAGAGGCCACCAACTCTTATGGGGTTTTTTTCTGTCTTCTGCCTCAGGGCAAGGAAATCAGTATTCCAAAAAAAAACTGGACAAGATTTGTTTTCTCAACAATGTGAACTCAATCTCCCGAGACGCAAAATACTTGGGCTACTGTTGACAGCATCCAAAATCCAAAGCAACGTCAATGTAAAGGTCACTTCACCGAGTGAACTGGTTTGCCACGTCTGAACAAAGGTCTTCTGTTCTACACTAATCGTCCTCCCTCTTTAAAGCAGAGAGATATCACTAATCCAACATTTCTGGAAATGTTATTCATACCATACCCACCAAAGCTTCCAGTAAAAAACAAGAAGTTCTGCACTACTTGTGGTAGTGGGGAACACCTTCATTTTCCCGTACCCCCCCAAAACCAGCGTGTTAAACGCAAAAGTAATGATCATCTACACTGGCAGCAAAAAGCCTACAAGAAAGATAATGAAGAAAACACAAGATGCAGCAAAAAAAAACCTATAGCAACATCCAACGTATGCAGCAAATTTCAAAAATTCAAGCAGACAACAAAATTACTTCAACCCTCACTCAGCCCGCCTCCACCATATCACTCCCCCAACAGTGAAAACCAAATCACACTGTTTACTATACCTCACATGAGAAACAACTGTACTGGATCCTTTAACTTCCCTCAACGAGTTTTTTGCATTAAATAATATGCCATATTTATTCCCCGCTTCCACCCTTTGGAAGAAATACTAAAAAACCCAAGGACCTAATTTCCACCCTGGCCCAGCCCAACACCACCCAAAAACCCCCCAAAATTTAAAGTCCCAAAACCCCCGTCTCCCCATTTTTTCGATTGGCTCGTCTGGCGGCGCAAATATCTTTTCCCTTTCCCCCCCACTCACCACTACCAAAGGAAAACAAAGCCCCGATTCCACCACGTCTTCTACACACCTGAGCAGGCACCCAAAATTTTTAAGAACCTTCAAAGCTGCAACACCAACAAAAACTCCCCTTCATCACTCGATATTAATCAGAAACCAACCCCGAGATCATTCCCTACCTGGAAAGATAAAACTTTTTATACCTCCTGACCAAAAACCCCACCATGAATGTCGACCTTTGTACGAGAAATTAAACCCACAGAACAGAAATTTTACAATGAAAAGGAACCATGTTTCCCTTCACAGCATCAAATGCCTTTGCCCATTTGAAAAGCCGCCCCTTTTGCCCCGTTACAAGACTATCACGTTTCCTCCAACAATGCACAAAAAAGGAATGCCTCCAACACTGAAGAAATGATGTAACTCCTGACTCACACTTTAACGACACCTTAGCAATCAAGAAGCTAGCCTCCCTTGACCACGCCTCCAGCTTCTGCCAGCCGCCAGTCAACATCAAGAATGCAAGATGCAGATAGCTTGCCAGCCGGACGACTGAGTGTTCTATTGTTTTTGTGTTCCTGTTTTCCTCTGCTTCTAAGGCTTAGCTGTTGGGTCTAGTCCTGGCTCTTCTCTCTTCGACTCAAGACATTCCTCTCACCGTGTATTCTTCGCACTGTCCCCACTTGCCCCTCGCCTCTCGTGGGTCCTTACCTGTGAGTCCTGATCTGATCTGATCTGATCTTGAGCACTCAGTCACCTCCTGGACACTGCAAGGGAAGGTATTACACTTCGTTCTCATAGGTAACTCTGCTTAATTAAGGTAAATCTTTCCTGGCTTTCTGGTTAAGTTTAGTCTTTATGATGCATTATGTAGGTTATGATCGTGTACAGGTTGTGTTTAATGATTAGTTTTGTGGGATGTTTGAATGTCTGTGTTGTTCACTGTTATGGTGACTGTAGTGTCTTGTGGTAACTGTTTATGGTGACTCCAGGTATACCTATGGTGACTATAGTGACTGACTAGTGACTGTTATGGTGATTATAGTGACTTATGGTGACTTGGGACTGTTTCTATAACTATAGTGACTTTGGTTGACTAGTGACTTTATGGTGACCATAGTGACATTGTTTATCTCCTGTTATCCAAGGAACTGGAGCTACCCTTCCCTTTACTTCTATCAGATCTGATAACCTCAAATTCACCAGTGTTACCCCTGCAGTTTTAACGCTTTCCTCATGACTGCGAACTTTAACGTAAATGCAGAAGTTCAAACATTAGCTGATAATGTTTTATTTGTCAGGAAACAGGAAAAAAAGTTTCCTGACGTGGGTCTTAGTTGTATGATGACCAGCAGCTAGAGCTTTTGGTCATCTGACCGAGGCCTTCCACTGGCTTTTAAATAATTAATGACCAATAATCACATTGCTGTTAGTAATGATATATATTATGTAAATGTATGTATATCAACATTTTTTGTTATTTTCGTATATATATTTTGTGGTATATATATTTTTTCGTTTTATTTTTTTAATTTTCATTTTTAAATTTTACTGTCCCATTTAACTTGACATTTATTTATGGGAACACGGAAAAAAATACATTGGAAGAAGACAGCTGTTCTCCTGTTTCCTTTTTCAATGTACTTCGTCTGTTTTTTCATTTATCGTGATGTTTTGAAGGGAAGGAATGGGGGGAGGGATGGACTTTATCAGTGCAATGTTTCGCTCACCAGAAGCTTGATCAGTTGATTGTATTTAAGACTCCGGGTGCACGAAACGTGTCCAAATTACAAAAGCATTTCTTTAATTTATGTACGAGAGGTGTGCCTAGATCTTGGTGATAGGCTCTAGATCCAAGGAATTTGACCTGTTCTCCCCTTGGATCGATCTGATTGCCTTCCATATCCCTGAGACCCTGAATGATCCCTAGGGGTTTATTGCTTCCCTTTGATAATTAAATATTGATTAATTTTGTGTGTAATACGGACAACTTGATGAGTAAGATGTCTTTAATAGTGTCAAAGCAGGCCTCTTCAGTCCAATAATTTTGAGATGATCAGTCCCTCAGCTTTGATAGGTAGCTATTCCTTCGGGTTAAGGTAGTGGACCCCCTCATCCCTATCAAAGCTGAGGAACTGATCGCCTCTCAAAATACCCTCGCCACCTGTCTACTTTTCGACAACAGAGATGTGCAAACGTCGCACATGTCTTAATTACGTAAAGTTTGCTTACTTGTTTAACGTGTTGAACTAAATTCCAGGTCGTGAAGATGGTGTCAAGAGTATTTCTGGTACTGGTGGTGCTTCAGGTGCTGTATATCAGCGTTCAGGCTCGTAAGTTCTAATGCTGAGTTCTTAGTTTTTAATTAACAGCATGATTGAAATGGGTAATGTAGATAAATCAGAGAACCGACAGGATGATGAATTACACTTGTGCAGCACTGTTTACAGGTGAGGTGAAGCAGTTGTAGGCGGTGACACCTTGGACAAATCCACAGGCGGAAGTTGGTCTACAATATATAAGCTAATCCACACACATACTGTACTCTAGAATGATAACTGGTCACATCTTCAGGCTCAGGGACTGACTACCTTGTACTGCTGATCCTCAACCATTCTTCTCTGTATTGGACTGAGGAGGACTGGTTGGTGAAACGTTTCCACAATAAACGTAAGTGTTGCACAAGTGTCTTTCATGAAAAGGGTAAAGTTGTGGGTACTTAAAATGTGTTCCCCAAGACACAGGATCACCAGTTAACACCTATTGTTGCATCTTGATTCATTTTATTGAACTACCATTGTTTACAAAAGAAAATATTATGGTATGCAGTCGGTTTTTTTTTTTCAAAAATTTGCAAATACGCCCTCGTAGTGTCCCTTATACTGGTATTCTATAAAATTTGGCTCTGGTCTGTGAATTGTCACTTTCCCCCTACACAGGACAAACGTCTCCCTGGCAAGTCTTAAGTTTATTCAGGTATACACAACTAGTTACATAGATTATCATACATAGCAGCGTATGTGTAAAAACCTAAGATAACCCAAAAAAGTCAGTGACTTATTTCTATTGGGGTTCCAGTTAGGAGTCGACATATGACTAAATATTCTTCACCTCACCGGAGGTAGGTTCCAAACCCCATTATAAATAAAGACTAGACTTAGTAGGGCCCAATTTACACCAGGGCAATTGTCCAGGGGGCTCTCCAAACACAGACATCACTTAAAAAAATGTCATACGTATTACCTAAACAGTATATCTGAACAATGATGCATCTACGTCTTTTAATGGCTACCACTGAGCATTTTAAATATACCCAGGAAGAACTAATTTGAAAGGCATAATCTAAGTATTTGCCACTCAAACAACTTTGCTTTCGCTTCATCCTGTATTTTTTATCATTGGCATGTGTTGTGAAAGATAATTGTTAAATTGTTTAAAATAAATCTTTTGCTTAACCTAGTAGTTAGTTCATTTTCCTAATTTTCAAAACAGCCTATCGGACAGATAGGCTCCCATACGTTATCTGGGCCACGATTATTTGTTTGAAGTGCGAAATGCTGCTGTTACATTTAGTAGCAGTAATACTAATTAAGGGGGGAGTACCAACAAACTGGGTTTGCCTAAGAGCCGGTGTCTCCACATGACTAAATCCAGCTCCGTCTAGTAATATCCTCCTGTTACCCGCTTGTTCTTTACCAGGCTTCCGTCTCTTTGACATTCCTGTACTTGATACACGTAGATATGTCCTCTAAGGTGCCTTGATGCCTGTGATAGGCTTTTGAACGAAGGAATTGTTCTTCTCTGCTTGGATTGAACCTAATTAACTCCCAACCCCTGTACTTCCTCCCCAAAGTTTGTTCTTCCTACGTAATAGCTATGCCCTTGAGAAGTAGAGGGAGCCTAGTGGACCCTACAATGTTACAAACTCCCCGGCAGGAAATGGGGTGTTTGGCCCTCCAGGAAGTCATTTCGATGGAGTGTCAAGCGCACGTTTTTTCCCATATAATCAAGGGGGAGCGCTTAGCCCGTAGGGATTATACAGCGCCTGTAAGGGAGGGTGGTGGGAGGAAGGTATTCAGTCTCAGCTCAGGGACCTGGAGCACAGAACCAATTCCCTAGATAGAGCCTCTCACCAGCTTCAAGGAACCTTCCTTAAGGGGTTTCGCCCCCCTAGCCACCTGTTAACCGGTATTTCTGCACCCCTGTGTAGCTTGGGGAGTGTGGAACACATTTTAAGTGCCAACAACTTTACCCTTTTCAGTCAGGCAGTGGTTTACGAGAAAAACGGTGGTATTCAGTCCCTCAGCCTGTAGGAATCTTTGACAGTCGTCCGACATTGACACTTCAATGGAATTTTTTAACTGATTTTATGCTTTGTGATGGCATTTGTGTAATGTTTTATTTATGCTAGTAGTTCTTAAAGTTTACCTTTGATGTTCTTGTATTTATTTCCCCCCTCAAGGAAGGTTCCTTGATGTTGGTGAGTGGTTCTTAATTTAGGGAATTGGATCTGTGCTCCAGTTCCCCGAATTAAGCCTGAATGCCTTCCACATCCCCCCTAGGCGCTGTATAATCCTCCAGGTTTAGCGTTTCCCCTTGATTATAATAATAATAATAATAATAATAATAATAATAATAATAATAATACAAATAACCCGCACTTAAGAGACAAACTTGCGACGTTTCGGTCAGACTTGGATCATTAACTAGTGACTAGTTAATGGTCCAAATCAGACCGAACAGTCACCATGTGTTTGTCAAGTGCTTGTTATTTGTATAATACCATCAAAGGCTCGTATTAAAATCTCTAAGCTACCTATAAACCTGCCAAGGTTGATACCAGTGTGTTTTTGTGTTTGTGGTTTTTGTTTTATTAATGTATTTGTCTTGACAGGTAACCCACAACAGTGTCCTCTGGAGTGTCGTCTCAAGTTCAAGCCTGTTTGCGACAGCACTGGCAATGTGTATAGTAGCAAGTGTGTGCTGGACGTAGCTATATGTAAAGACCCATCCATCCAGCCAGGTGTCTGTGGTTAGTAACTGCATGTTCTCGGTATTATGTTTCCATAAATACATTTAGGTAACAGGTAAATGGGGATGAGAAAAAAAAATAACATTTCTAGATATCACATAAGACAATTTCAAGGATATTATGCTTTTGCACCATGCATCTGTTTTCCTTGTGTAGAGCCTAATCATGAGTACTTTATACTCTAGTAGTACCAAGACTTTAATACAGGTATGAGGGATGGGTTTTAAACATTGAGACGAGGAGGTGGCTGGAGGCAGTGATGGGAAGGGTGGTTGAGGTGGTTTGAGCAATTAGAGGATTGAGCAGAAGAGGATGGCCAAAAACATGTTATTCTGGGGTTTAATGAAAGGGGAGGGTCGTCCCCTGATAGTGTTTTGATGTTAGGAAAGAGCAGATTGGGTTTAGTGTGTTTAAAATTGGAAGGGGGAAAACTGTTTCTTTGACTACTCGTTACTACTGTAAAGATATAACGTGTGTAGTTTTATTACCACTGTAACTGTTTAAGCTACAGAACTCTGCAGTCCAGTCCCTTTCCATTAAGTAAAGTACCCCTTTTCTATACGACTTGGGGGATAAAAGAAAAATTAAATAGACGTGTTTAGTTTTAAAAGGGAACTTTTTAAGGGTTTGGGGAAAACCCAGAGTGGGGAATAAAGTCCTGACTCTGAAGGTGGGTTTGTTGCATATGAGGTATTAACTGCGATGTCCAAAAATTTGCCCAAGAACTTTTAGTTTGGTTCAGAAAGCCCCCGTTTTATGCGCAAATTTTTTCGGGGTTACCCTGAGGTTACTTTAAATATTTTTTCCTTCAACCCCCGGGAGTATTTTAAAAAAATTCCACCCAACCCCGGAAGAAAAACTAATGCAAAAAACCGGGGGGTGATCATGTCGGAGGATTCCCTTCAAGGACAATAACATGTATCAGTCACATCTGCTAGAAAAATGCAGGGTGGATAATGGGAACCTTCAAACTACGGTGCCAAGCCCTGTACACCTTCGGGGTTTTTATCAGGGTGGAATATTGCTGCACATTAACAGCACCTTTCAAGGCAGGTGAAATTGCTGACCTAGAAAATGTACAGAACCTTCAGGCGCACATAACGGAGATAAAACACATCAATTACTGGGAGCGCTTGAAGTTCCTGAACCTGTACTCCCTGGAATGCAGACGGGAGAGATGCATGATTATATACACCGAAAATCCTAGAGGGATTAGTACCAAACTTGCACACGAAAATCACTCCCTATGAAAGCAAAAGACTCTGCAGACGATGCAACATTCACCCCAGTAAAAAGTAGGGGTGTCACTAGCACGATAAGACATAAAACAGTACAGTGTGAGAGGCCCAAGACTGTTTAACTGCCTCCCAGCCTATATTAGGGGGATTACCAATAGACCCCTGACTGTTTTCAAGAAGGCACTGGACAGGCACCTAAAGTCAGTACCTGACCAGCCGGGCTGTGGCTCGTACATCGGGTTGCGTGCGGCCAACAGTACATATATATATGTACATGCATGCATTAAAATATAATGTACATGTATCCATGTACATGTATGTTTTAATGCATGCATGTATATTTGAATGCATTTTAACAGGTGTGCCAAAGCAGAAGTGTCCCAGGTGTGTCCCTTCAAACTACCAATTTGACACAACTGGCAACATTTATGGGTAACCAATGTCAACTGAAAGTTAGCTATATGTAATGAATCATCAGGTGTCTGTGATTCCTAACAGCACATTCTCAGTAATACTTAAGTGTATGTAGTGACATAGTTCTAGGTAGTAGGTTGGTAGACCACAACCACCCAGGGAGGTACTACCGTCCTGTGGTAGTAGGTTGGTAGACAGCAACCACCCAGGGAGGAACTACCGTCCTGCCAAGTGAGTATAAAACGGAAGCCTGTAATTGTTTTACATGATGGTAGGATTGCTGGTCTCTCTTTTCTGTCTCATAATCATGCAAGATTTCAGGTACATCTTGCTACTTCTACTTACATTTAGGTCACACTACACATACATGTACAAGCATATATATTCACACCCCTCTGGGTTTTCTGCTATTTTCTTACTAGTTCTGTTCTTGTTTATTTCCTCTTATCTCCACGGAGAAGTGAAACAGAATTCTTCATCCGTAACCCCATGCGTGTCATAAGAGGCAACTAAATGCCAGGAGAAAGGGGCTAGTAACCCCTTCTGTATACATTACTAAAGTTAGAAAAACTTATTTTTCTTTGTGTTCTATCCTGCCTCGTGGGATACGGCGGTTTGTTGAAAGAAGCAGAGAAGGCAGCAACATAGTCCTGCCACTTGTCTTGGATTTAAATACACTCGTTTTACTTCTTGTGTTCACATGGGAAATGGGGTAAACAGATAAAAAAAAATAGCATGTTCTTGGATACTAGGGTACAGGGACTAGTTGGTAATCTCCTGCGCGTTTTCCCAAATTGTCTCTAAATTCTAATATTTCCTGTTAACCTTTGATCACTGATATTATAAACTTAAATAAAGCCGCAAAATAGAGAAACATACGAGGGCATTTCGAACCGACTTCGACCATGTCATAAGTTCGGGTCTGAAATGTCGTAAGCTTGTCTCCAATGTGCAGGTTACTTGTGAATTGTTCTAATCACGGTATTATGCCTTGTTTTGTCTATTATAAGCTTATTTTGGTTATGAGTAAGTTTTTGGATGAATATAACTTTGGAATAGCCAGCGTGTATTATTGATTAAATAACTTGGGGGTTAAAAAGGCCACAAGTACAACTAATGTGGGCCCATGTTTGAAAAATATATGGACACGCAGGGTATATACAGTCTTAGTGAGGTGCAATGGTAGTGGTGGTTGTTTTTAGTAGTGATGTAAGTTGTAGTAGAACAATGACTTTTAAACAGACCTTCTCTAATCCATGTCTCCAATAGAAATATTTTCTAACCTATTTTTGTTACCCAAGTCATAGCTTTTATGTTCTATTACTCATTTTGGGGAGTTAATTGTTCTACCCTATTGTATTACTACTACTACTGCTGCTGCTGCTTACTATCTATATATAACCCTGTGTCCATGTACTGTTTGTAACGGCCTTGACAAAGCTCATGGAGAGCGAAACGTTGCCATGATAAAATGCCACATTAGGTGTACTTGTGGCCTTTTACAGGTTGAAAATATTTAGATAAATTTCTAAACACACACTCCCGTGGGTACTGGTGTAAATGTAGACAGCCTGTAATGTCAGAACACACAGCCTAGCCGTCTGTTCTGACTAGTTCATATTTTGCGGCATTTAGGGGCGCCCTCTGTAGGGTCACCCAGGTCAGTGGGAGGCTCACCCAGCCGCTCTCCCCTCCTAGGCCACGACTTGACAGACACAAGTGCTCCCCCTCCACGGACTGGCTTGCGGTCACTCCCTCACACTGCCCGTTGTGTACTCACTCCTACCCAATTAAAGCCAAACTAGTCCACGGCCGTATCATTGCTACCTATTTACCTGGAGTTTACCTGGAGAGAGTTTCGGGGGTCAACGCCCCCCGCGGCCCGGTCTGTGACCAGCCTCCTGGTGGATCAGCGCCTGATCAAACAGGCTGTTGCTGCTGGCTGCACGCAAACCAACGTACGAGCCACAGCCCGGCTGATCAGAACTGACTTTAGGTGCTTGTCCAGTTGCCAGCTTGAAGACTGCCAGGGGTCTGTTGGTAATCCACCTTATGTGTGCTGGGAGGCAGTTGAACAGTCCTCGGGCCCCCGACACTTATTGGGATGGTCTCTTAACGTCGCTAGTGACCACCCCTGCTTTTTATTGGGGGGTGGTGCATCGTCTGCCAAGTCTTTTTCTTTTGTAGTGAGTGATTTTTGTGAGCAAGTTCGGTATAGTCCCTTTTAGGATTTTCCAGGTGTATATAATCATTTTATCTCCCCCCTCCCTGCGTTCCAGGGAATACAGGTTTAGAAACCTCAAGCGCTCCCAGTAATTGAGGTGTTTTATCTCCGTTATGCTGCCGTGAAGTTTTCTCTGTACATTTTCTAGGTCGGCAATTTCACCTGCCTTGAAGGTGCTGTTAGAGTGCAGCAATATTCCAGCCTAGATGAACAAGTGACCTGAAGAGTGTCATCATGGGGTTGGCCTCCTAGTTTTTAAGGTTCTCATTATCCATCCGTCATTTTTCTAGCAGATGCGATTGATACAATGTTATGGTCCTTGAAGGTGAGATCCTCCGACATAATCACTCCCAGGTCTTTGACGTTGGTGTTTCGCTCTATTTTGTGGCCAGAATTTGTTTTGTAACTCTGATGAAGATTTAATTTCCTCATGTTTTACCATATCTGAGTAATTGAAATTTCTCATCGTTGAACTTCATATTGTTTTCTGCAACCCACTGAAAGATCTGGTTGATGTCCGCCTGGAGCCTTGCAGTGTCTGCAATGGAAGACACTGTCATGCAGATTCGGGTGTCATCTGCAAAGGAAGACACGGTGCGTGGCTGACATCCTTGTCTATGTCGGATATGAGGATGAGGAACAGGATGGGAGCTAGTACTGTGCCTTGTGGAACAGAGCTTTTCACCGTAGCTGCCTCGGACTTTACTCTGTTGACGACTACTCTCTGTGTTCTGTTAGTGAGGAAATTATAGATCCATCGACCGACTTTTCCTGTTATTCCTTTAGCGCGCATTTTGTGCGCTATTACGCCATGGTCACACTTGTCGAAGGCTTTTGCAAAGTCTGTATATATTACATCTGCATTCTTTTTGTCTTCTAGTGCATTTAGGACCTTGTCGTAGTGATCCAGTAGTTGAGACAGACAGGAGCGACCTGTTCTAAACCCATGTTGCCCTGGGTTCTGTAACTGATGGGTTTCTAGATGGGTGGTGATCTTGCTTCTTAGGACCCTTTCAAAGATTTTTATGATATGGGATGTTAGTGCTATTGGTCTGTAGTTTCTTTGCTGTTGCTTTACTGCCCCCTTTGTGGAGTGGGGCTATGTCTGTTGTTTTTAGTAACTG